TTCCTTCCGCAACCAAGTGCCATTGTCTGGTACTTGTCCAAATTTCCCTTTAGTAAATTAGCTCTGTACCATGAAGATGCTGACTCAGCGCAAACAGCAAGATCATCATGCACATCAGAGAGGGTGCTGCGAACGACATAAAACTGGTGGTCATCTGCATACATATTCATGTTCGCATCAACAGTATAAGTCAAATCGTTTTGGAAGATGTTCCAGATGAGAGGTCCAAATGCAGAACCCTGTGGGCATCCCCTGGTCACCCTCTGCCACTCGCTCACTACAGATCCTAGCTTGACCCTGTTATAACGGTCTGTGAAGTAGGAGCCCATCAATCGCAGACTTCTTTCCTCAACACCATAAGCTTTAAGTTTTGCAAGTGTAAGTGGATGGTAAAGTGAATCGAAGGCTTTGCTCATGTCCGTGGAGAGAACACCCACAACGTTATGCTCATCCAGAGCGAATTTCCAATTCTCAGTCAAAGATAAGAGAGCTGTCTCACAGCTATTGTTTTTCCTGTAAGCTGTTAGTTTGTCGCACAGTTTGTTATTAAAACCATATAGTCCAGCTGTTATCGACCAAAAATATAGCGAATTGTTCACTTTTATGATAAAAGCATGAAGCTTTGCCAGATTACAACCAACCCTAAGAGTAACATTTCTGGATATGGAGCCAAGCCAAATTCAACAGTGGACACGAGTACTGCGCAGGCCCTAAAATGGCCCACATGAAAACGAGGCTGACAGTGGAAATGCTTCTAAAATACCGGTTTTTCAGTGTTTTGGTAAATAAAACTTGTAGATATCGTGGAAGAAGACATTTGCTTTGCTGTCATGTTCTCTTTGGTGTCACGTGACCCTTTCTTCCAAATATGGCAAAGCCGTTGTTGGGTGTCCTGTGCTGGGCTGTCTTCTGTGCATTTGTGAGTTTTAAAGGGTGAGAATGGGCACCGATTCACACAATTTTAAATGATAACACTCTTGCAACTTTTTTCCAATTGTCAAGGGTGGGATTTGTTTTCATACAGATGTCAATTACCACATGAAAACAAGGCAAGAATCTTTTAAACTGTTTCAAAAGCCTCCAGTTAGCACTGCGTGCGGTCATTTGGGGGTGGATTCAGATAACATTGCATAAAAGCTTGCACTGATCAAAAATTGGGATTGTATGGCACTCTAGCTGTTGCTTTCCATCTAAATGTAGAGCGCCGGTCAAAAACAAGGCAAAAATCCTTTTGATGATCTTAAAAGCTAGCCTTCAGTTTCTTGCCTCCACGTTCGGATACTGCATTAAGCTATTAATATTCAAATGAACGAATGAATCGTTCAAGGAATTCTCCTTTCATTATTAACAAAGTCAGTTACAAGGTTGAGTACTGAATCCAGGAGGTGGCCCAGCCCAAATAGCTCTCCTCCCTTAATTTTGAAGAAATGCCAATTTGATCCTTTCAAGTTGAAATTAATATTACCAGTTGTTGCTTACATTAAATGCATGAGATAGAACAGTCTTTGAGGTAAAAATGAACAGGTCATGCAGGAGCAAGCGATCGTGCCTCCCCATATCTCTGTTATGCGTGAAAAACAGATGACAGGATAGTCTTGTAAAGAACATTTTTGAGATACGCAATTTAAAGCTACCAAATTGATATTCAAAAGGTCTAGATAGCAGCAACAATATAGATAGTCGTATAAACATAACAACTTTCTTTAATTTTCCAGACATGTTTCGACGGTACATCCGTCATCTTCAGTTTTACATATTTTGAAATCGCCGTTGAATTTAAAGCGCGCGCGATCTTACAAAGTTCGTTACATTGCGTTGTCAATATTGCGTACTAAAACAAAGTTAAATGAGTGACGCTTAGTTCTTTACAGGGAGAGAGTCAGGTTAATGTGTTTCACCTGCTGGTTGAGATCGGGCTTCTCCCATTTTATAAACATGGATTCTTTAAGCTTCACTTGGTACTTAGTGGCTGCAGAGTCCAGGATCTCGAAGCAATCCGGTGTGCAGGATGCTCTACAAAACTCTGAACCCTGCAGATGTTTAAAAACGTTCGAAGACCTGTCTGAAAGTAAGTGCTCGCGCACTCGTGTGGAGAAGTGTCGGCTGGTTTCACCAACATAACAAGCATTACAACTTGCACACGAAAATTTATAGACCACACGCGTGCGTAACCCCTCAGGGACAGCATCTTTCACATTAAAAAGATTCCTGACTTTGAAAGTAGTAAAGACTAACCTTAAATCAATAGGTTTACATAACCGGTTAGCAAGTTTGCGTATACTCCTCTGTGCCGTGACTGAGAAGTGCCCAACGTAAGGGATTTTGAAGAAGAACTTAAGCGTTTCCTGGGGCTCGACTCCTGAATAGGGCTGTGTTTTCCCTCCCTTGACTGCTGTCTGAATATATTTAGAAATATATTTGTTGATAAGGTTTTCAGGGAAGAGATTCCTCCGCAGAATGACAGACAATTTTTGAAGGTCAGTATGGAACCCCATCCAAGTGTTGTTTGTCTTAAAAGTTCTATGAATCAAGGTTTTGATTAATATCAAATTGATATTCCTTTAAATTTTATATTAACACATGAAAATATAAAAAAGATGATCAATCTGAACGTAATAAAAAAGGCCGTGTTTCTCCCCATTAAGGACAAGAAATCAAGCCTTTCAAACTCAGCTCGCTAACAGAATGTCGAGCGCTTTCACAAAAAAGCAAAGTTGTTGCTACGTATGTCCTCAAGGCAGAGTATATTTAAAGTGCATGTTTATCCCTCATAATTGAACACCAACTGAGCTACTTGAAATAGATGAAGGAATTCGATTAACTTTACTCATATTTCTAACGGTAATCTTTAATAATAATAATAATAATAATAATAATACTTATATGGCGCCGATATCAATGTTGTAGTTCAATTTTTTTCTGGTTTGACATCAATACTGCTATTATGCATAAAGTGCATGAACCTACCAAGAAGAGTTAAAACAATTTTGTCAACACTAAAGCTATAAAAATTACCTAGACTACTTAATCGTAAAAAACTGCATAAAACCTACTAAACACGAGATTAAAAAGCACATAAAATCACAGCTTTCTGAAATAAAAATGTCTTGAGTGCTTTTTAAAAGATGCTACTGAGGGGCTACTCCTAATCGCGTAGGGCAATGAATTCCATAGTTGAGGAGCAGCAGCAGCAAAAGATGCGGTGCTTGAAAAGTTTCTGAAATAAATTACAATTAAGACACACAAGCTGTAGGCAACTACAGATAGTTAATTCATACCACTTGATTGAAAGAGAATTTTTGAATAATTGCCTCAAAATTACTATGATTTGAGCATTTCAAGTCATTGTACTAGCCGTGATGCAACACTAAGGCGGTACACTTTAGGTCCAAAGAGCGCTCGTTACCTTATAATTAGGGAAAGTTTAAAATTAAATTATCGACTTCTCGGTTAATGTTTTTCAATTTAAGAAAGTGAACCTCATTTGAAAGGCTCATAACCAATTTTTAATGATGTACTAGTGAGCAGCACACTTACACTTCCAGTGAACAATTTTCACTTGGAAGAAGGAGAAACTATGCTCGCCGGGGCAAGAAAATTTTCGTTGCCCCGGGCGAGCATGGTTTCTCCTTCTTCCAAGTGAAGTTGTTCACTGGAAGTGTAAGTGTGCTGCTCACTAGTACATCATTAAAAATTTTAAAAAAAACTACAATATTTTAAAACCGTACAGAAATGAAATCCATGGTCATGTACTCATCTAAGCCGAGAAAAATCTTATCTTTTTCTACCAAAAAAGTTGATAATGTCAACGTTTTGTGCATCGATCCAGCCACAGAGAAGTTGACCTTTTATGCGACAAAAAGTTCCAAATCAAAGGAAAATAGCCAAACATCCAACCAATAGAGCTGGTTTCTATCGCCAATTTTACACCCACAAGTGAGTTTTCATGAGTTTTCTACTACAGACATCAAAGGGGAGTTAAGAGTGTATCCTCAACAAACCAGTTAATCAGAAACCAATAAAAATGGAAACTGCTGAACAAATTAAAATGCTAAGGATTTGCAGTGGGTAGGAAGAGATTCGTGTGGGGTTTTGTGACTTGGGCGGCTTTATTATCCCACTCAACCCTAAGATCATCAATCTCAAAGCAGCCGAATATACATTAATCTCATCCACGAGCCACTTGTTTCGGTAGACAGGCTGCTTGGGGTATTTGGCGCCATGTGTAATAACAAAGATTTGCTTCAGCTCATACTCCTTGAGCTTCATATTGTTCAAAATGCTGAGCAGGCAGTTCACCTGTACCAGATGAACAGCAGCTCAGTAACACAACTGAGTTGAAAAGAAGGGTGTGGCTCATTCATTGCTTATATAACCGCAAGTCATCTTATTCAAAATGACGGTAGGTGCACCAAGTAACGAATCTGTGTATCCATTTATGTGAAAGGCAAAACAGAAACACCCTTCTAAAATCGGTGAAAAATAATAATCGAAACGGTGAAATCTTTCCATGAAGGAGAAGATGGGAATTCAAACGATGAAATGAGATTTTACTAGTGTTGTAGATCCCTAATCCTAAGAAATTTATTCCGCATACTTTAAAACTGTGCGCACAAATCCCACCAAACATAAGTTAACGCTCTTGCGTCTTGTTTGCATAAACTGAAACAGACTGACAATTACTTCGTGTTCCAGACATTTCATATTAGTTTGAGTGATCATCAACAGTTAAATCAGAAATCATTCCACCAATGAGGCGATGCTAGTTATTTTAGTTATCCATGTATAGTATGGACACCAAAGAAAATGATGTCAGTGTCACGTGGGCGTTGAGTCCTGATTATGTCCGACAGACATTTTTTAACTTGCGTTTGCGTTAACCTTCGAGCAAGGTCTCTTGATTAACACCCCTCCCTCTTGCGTCTCCTTTTGAGTGCAGTTTGCACGTGACGTTTCACGATAGCCCCAAATAGACAGCTAGAACGTAGGCTGCACTTATTTTTTCCTGGTTGACAAGCGTTAAGTGCAAACAAAAACGTTTGGGGAAATAGTAAGTTTAATTGGTTTTTTCGGCTTGCACTTGCGTTTGTTTGTCCAGCCCTCATTATCTTCAATAAAACGAGGCAAGAAGTGAAAAAGAAGATAAAGTCACCTTCATAGTGTTTCCTCAACTCGAGTAGTGCTCATGCAACATAGCTGTCGAGCAGTGTATGAATGGGATATGTATAGGGAAGAACACCTCTGAGGCAAACAAGTCTAAAGGTTTTAATTTTGACTAAGGGGTATATCGTGGCAGTTTGTGGCTATGAACTCATTAAATGAAAGAAAAAACTGCTTTTTTGGGACGGTGTCGATTCACCATTGGCAAAACTGGTGTACAACCTACTCTTAAGATACAGTGACATCTACAACTATCTTGTGGATACAACTGTTAGAAAGGGGGGCTCTTCAATTCCTTAAATATGGCATTTTAAGGAAAAACTCATGTGACTTTGCATTGTCGTCCGTGGAGAAAAAAAACTCTGCAAAAACGCCGTGCAATCACAATTTTTGATCCGTTCAGGCTTTTAGGCCATGCGCTATGAATCTAACTCAAGATGACTGCACGCAGGAGTAACAGGAGGCTTTTCAAACCGCTAAAAAGATTTTTGTCTCGTTTTCATGTAATGATTTGCATTTGTATGGTAGAAAACAGTCCTTGATAATTGGACAATAGCTGCAAGAGTGTTATCATTTAAACTTGCCTGAAAAGGTGCCCCTTCTCACCCCTTTAAACGCAGAAATGTAAAGAAGACAGCTTCAGCACAGGACACCCAACAATAGCCTTGCCATATTTGGAAGGAGGGGTCACGTGACACCAAGGAAAGCATGACAGCAAAGCAAATGTCTTCTTCCACAATATCTACGACTTTTATTTAAAGAAACACTCAAAAATTGTATTTTAGAAGGCTTTCCACCAACAGCCTCGTTTTCATGTAGGCCATTTTAGGGCCTGCGCAGTACTCGCGTCCACTGTTGAATTTGGCTTGGCTCCATATCCAAAAATGTTAGTCTTAGGGTTAGTTGTAATCTGGCAAAGTTTCATGCTTTTATCATAAAAGTGAACAATTTTGGTCGATAACAGCTGGACTAATAACTGAGTTGCTTGCTGAGTAATTGTTCAAAGAGTTTGTTTACAGTAACTTGTACAGTTATGGGTCTGTAGTTTCCCATTTTATGGGGATCTTCCTTCTTAAAAACGGGTGTCCATTCACCCCTTTTCCATCCCAAGGGCCACTCTCCGAGGGTTATGCATGAATTAAATAGTGACGTCAATGGATTTGTTAGCTCAGTAGCTCCAAGCTTGAGCGCCATGGGAGGGATGCCGTCCCAGCCTGTACTCTTCCTTACATTGACGTTTTGCAGCGCCTTTTCAACTTCAAAACTCTGAAGATTCTGAAACTGGAAGCCTTGATATCCTGTCATCTTCTGCGTAATATTCTGGACACTAGGGTGGGTGGCGAGAACTTTGTCATCAACCGCACTGGTGTCTCCAATCCCATCAGCCACAGTAGCAAAATATTCACACAAGTGATTAGAAACCGCACATTGGTCTCTACAGATGGTCCCATTGATACTTAGGCTGAGCTCATTTGTGTTGACCTTGTGCTTTTCAGTCAGAAAGGGCATAAATGTCTTATAGAACTCACTCGGCTTGCACTTAAGCTTAGTGGCTTGCTCTTTCCAATATGTCCTTATTGCCTTTCTCCGGAGTCGGGTGGCCTCGTTTCTGGTTATCCGCCTAGCTTCCCAGTTCTCACTGGTTTGTTCCTTTTTTGGAGGCAATTCTTTTGAGCAGAATAGCCTTTTTTTCGAGCAGAATGTGTAAAGGCCTAATCAGGAACCCATAACCCGGAGCGAGCAACTTCCAGGCGCATGTGTCACGGCGCTGTCACGGACCAGTTTATTTTTAGAACGGTTTTGGCGCGAGTTTTCAGATATCTTTAAATTCCAAAAACCGGTCTGCAAAACCCACAGACCTAAAAATGTGATTTTTTCGCCTTTTAATAACGTTTAGTTTTTGTTTTTGATATCTTATACTTCGAATGTGCTCATAGACATGGCGGAGATTCTATTTTCGCTGGAAAAAGTGCCTATAATGTGACTTAGGCCTAGTATGGAAGTTGCTCGCTCCGGATTATGGACATTATGGGCTCCTGTTTTCATCTACAGTACAAACATTCTGGTACGTTTGCTAACCGTAAATATGAAGAACTATCTTACCCAAAAAAATCAGAAA